CCAGACACCAACCTCACTGAATCACTAACCTCACCCAGACACCAACCTCACCCAGACGCCAACCTCACCCAGACACCAACCTCACCAGACAACCTCACCCAAACACCAATCTTACCCAGACATCAACCTTACCCAGTCACCAACCTCACTGAACCACTAATCTTACCCAGACACCAACCTCACCCAGACACCAATCTTTCCCAGACACCAACCTCACCCAGACATTTACCTTGCTTTGTGGAAGAGGGATCTGTACATGAAGAAGATATAGAAGAATTTGAGAGGAAACACCAGAGGTAGCCGATATAGTCATCTACATCCAAGTAGACATGGGAATACCCGGCAGAACCAAGCTTGTGTGTCGCCCCATTGTATAATAAGCAGCATCCAACCATTGGTTCTTTGAGACCATCGCTCCCACTTATACCTTGTTTGTAACATTGCGCTGGAGCTTTAGACAACATTTGTCCGAAGGAGTGTTTGAAACGCGCTTTATCGCGCTATCAAGTTTTAATGTTGAATTGTTGGAGAATTTGTTGTCAATTTGTTGTATTTCTGTGCACGATATTGACATTGGAAACTCTCGTAAGGGACTTAATTGTCCCACGTCACTCTTGTTATGTCGTTAATGTTAGTTCATGCAATGGAGCATTGTGGCACTTTAAATGGGATCTACGGTAACGACGCTGTAACTAATATGCCCTGCCTCAAGCTGAAACAATTTCTTTATGTAAGGGTAGTCGTAGAAAAGGAACACCCCAACAGCTAGGTTACAAGGTGGGGCAGGATACCCCCACCTTCTCGCAAACACCTGGTATCATCACTATTTGATAGTGATTCATAATATGATATAGTCGGACTTGCACAATGGAGTCTGATTTTAGCAGAGATTGTTTATGATTATGGAAAGGACTTTGTCTCATTTAAGACCCGAGTTCGCTTTCCCACATCATTCGTCCGTTTCATCGCTCACCTTCCGCAGCCGTTGCCGCGGCAATTTCCGTGACAATTTAATTCAATTTCTTGTCATTTCCTTGTTTTAGAGTTGTATTAGTAGTGATAAATCTCTTAAATGTCTGGTGGGATCAGTGGACATGCCGATCGGCATTTCTCGTAACTTTTCGTGGAATTCCCACACACCTCGGTGTGTTCCGATTGATATGCAGCTCTTCATTTCCCTAACGTACAGTAATGGCTGCCTGTCGTGACTGCCGGACAAAATACCAGCTTTGACTATTGAAGCCTGCAGTAAGGTCCATATTGGGTGTTGTCTGGCATTGCTAATAACCTATAACACTCTTGCTTTTCTCAGAGGGGAGTAACGTCGGTTGTAAACAAGATATTTAGCCCCATCTGTCGAAAATTAATCTTTCTTCGACTGGAACCCAATCTGCTAGGCGGGTTTCACAAATCTATGGGTCAATGCTGGTATATATTTATGAACATTGTCTATCCTCTAAATCTACTTACCTCACCCAGACCCCTACCTCACCCAAACGCCTTTCTCACTCAGCTACATACCCTGCCCTGACATCTACCTCACCCAACGACCACCCTGACACCTTCCTGGCGCAGACATTTACCTCACGGAGCTACGCACCTTCCTTACCGAGATACTCACCTCGCACAACAAGCCTACTCACTCAGGTACGAACCTATGTCAACCACCTGCCTCACCGGACCCGTGAAGATCCGTGGTAGAATAGGTCTTCAGCAACCCATGCTTGTCGTATGAGGCGACTAACGGGATCAGGTGGTCAGGCTCGCTGACTTGGTTGATGCATGTCATCAATCCCAATTGCGTAGATTGATGCTAATGATAGTAATCACTGGATTGTCTGGTCCAGACTCGATTATTTACAGAAAGCCGTCATAAGGCTGGAATATTGCTGAGAGCGGCGTTAAACAACCAACCAACCAAACAACCAACCAACCTGCCTCCCCGAACTGCAAGCGGATCCACCTTTGTACTCATATCACTAAGCAACCCACCTCACCTTAGGTATTTACCTCACTAAGATACCTGCCTCACCTTAGGTATTTGACTCACTAAGATACCTACCTCACCTTAGGTATTTACCTCACTAAGATACCTACCTCACCTTAGGTATTTACCTCACTAAGATACCTAACTCACCTGCCGTACTCACCTCACTAAGATACCTACCTCACCTCACGTACTCATCACATTAAGATACCTACCTCACCCAACGTACTCACCTCACTAAAATACCTAGCTCACTCTACGTACTCAATTCACTAAGATACCTACCTCACCTTACGTACTTACCTCACTAAGATACTACCTCATCTTACGTACTCACCTCACTAAGATACCTACAACCTACGTACTCACCTCACTACGACACCAACCTCACCTTACGTACTCTCCTTACCAGCATACCTACCTCACCCTACGTCCTCACCTCTCTAAGATACCTACCTCGCCCTACGTACTCACCTCACTAACATACCTACCTCGCCCTACGTACACACCTCACTAAGATACCTACCTCACCTTACGTACTCATCTTACTGAGATACCTACCTCGCCCTACGTACTCATCTCACTGAGGTACCTCCCTCACCCTACGCACTCACCTCACTAACATACCTACCTCACCCTACGTACTCATCTCACTGAGATACCTACCTCACCCTACGTACTCATCTCACTGATATACCGCTCTCACCCTACGTACTCACCTAACTAACATACCTACCTCACCTTACGTACTCAGCTCACTGAGATACCTACCTCGCCCTACGTACTCAGCTCACTGAGATACCTACCTCAACCTACGTACACACCTCACTGAGATACCTATCTCGCCTTACGTACTCACCTCACTAAGATACCTACCTCACCCTACGTACTCATCTCACTGATATACCTACCTCACCCTACGTACTCATCTCACTGATATACCGCTCTCACCCTACGTACTCACCTAACTAACATACCTACCTCACCTTACGTACTCGGCTCACTGAGATACCTACCTCGCCTTACGTACTCAGCTCACTGAGATACCTACCTCAACGTACGTACTCACCTCACTGAGATACCTATCTCGCCTTACGTACTCACCTCACTAAGATACCCACCTCGCCCTACGTACTCACCTAAGACACCTACCTCTCCTCACATAGACATTTACCTCACCTAGCTACGTACCTAGAAAGACACATGGGACTCGAGGTGATTCACCTCACCCAGCGCTGCGTCACCCTATACACCTATTTCACCAAGGCACCAACCTCACTCAGACACCAACCTCGCCCATACACCAACCTCATCCCAGACACCTGCCTTACCCATACACCTGCCTCACCCGAGACAGCAACCTCACCCAACACACCTGCCTCACCCCAGACACCAACCTCACCCAGACACAACCTCACCCCACACACCTGCCTCATCCCAGACACCAACCTCACCCAGACCCCAACCTCACCCAGACACCTTCCTCACCCATACACCTGCCTCACCCCAGACACCTGCCTCGCCCCAGACACCTGCCTCACCCCAGGCACCAACCACACCCCAGACACCTGCCTAACCCCAGACACCAACCTCAACCAGACACCTGCCTAACCCCAGACACCAACCTCAACCAGACACCTGCCTCGCCCCAGACACCTGCCTCACCCCAGGCATCAACCTCAACCAGACACCTGCCTAACCCCAGACACCAACCTCAACCAGACACCTGCCTAACCCCAGACACCAACCTCAACCAGACACCTGCCTAACCCCAGACACCAACCTCAACAAGACGCCTGCCTCACCCAACACACCTGCCTCACCCCAGACACCTGCCTAACCTCAGACACCTGCCTAACCCCAGACACCAACCTCAACCAGACGCCTGCCTCACCCAACACACCTGCCTCACCCCAGACACCAACCTCAACCAGACGCCTGCCTCACCCCACACACCTGCCTCACCCCAGACACCAACCTCACCCAGACCCCAAACTTACCCCCCACACCTGCCTCACCCCAGACACCAACTTCACCCAGACACCTACCTCACCCATACACCTACCTCGCCCCAGTCACCTGCCTCACCCCAGACACCAACCTCACCCAGACACCTACCTCACCCATACACCTACCGCGCCCCAGACACCTGCCTCACCCCAGGCACCAACCACACCCCAGACACCTGCCTCACCCCAGATATCAACCTCAGCCAGACACCTGCCGCACCCCAGACACCAACCTCACCCCAGACACCTGCCTCATCCCATACACCAACCCCATCCAGACACCAATCTCACCCAGACACCTACCTCACCCATACACCTACCTCGCCCCAAACACCTGCCTCACCGCAGGCACCAACCACACCCCAGACACCTGCCTCACCCCAGATATCAACCTCAACCAGACACCTGCCGCATCGCATAGATGAGTCGGGTATATCACTCGGGTACTTGTCTCCCAGTCTGATGCCTTACTCGGGACACACAATATAGCATGGTGATTCCCTCTATAAGTCGGACATCACGCAGCAGATAATAGAATAAAGAAGTATTATTTATTACAACGTGGCTGTGAATTTGCCAGGCTTTCATGAATTCACATTAATATTTTCATTAAATGACAGAACTAATGGTTTATGGATAAAGTTTTGAAAATTAGAAATATCAAAAAGCAGTAGAAACTTGCACCTTTTTTCCAAACTAAGATTGAGCACATATTCGCACAAAAATTCCCCCTACAGTTGTATTTAATTTGACACTCAAGATGAAAACCGTTCCACTGCAGTAATATCAAGCAAATATTGAATAGTACCATACAGTGTAAACGTACAACTGGTATTAATATTAAACTTAGGAAACACATGTGAACATGTATGCAATGTAAGGGATACGCCCTGATCGTGTGTTAAGCGACAGTGGCGTAAAGTACGCGAGCATATGTCGCGTGCGTGGCACCGTCTGTGCTGTTGTCGTTATCTAGAGATGACCTCAACTGTTTACTGTTTTACCAGATAAAACACACAAGGCAGCTGTGACCCCCTCAAACATAATAATTCAGATCATCACGTAATAGATATGATAATTATGATGCTACTTGGACCCCTTGGTCTGGTGTCTGGAGGCCATATCTGATGACATTTAGACAGGTAAGGGATGCCCCCTCTAATTCAGATTATGATGTGAGGAGTTTGGCAGCAGAACTCAATTATTGCGATATAGCCAACCTTGAGCGAGGAACCGCCTGAGTGAGAGCGGCTACAACTACGTGTATCCTACTGCTGCTTGGAAATATCCTCGCGATCGATCCGTCGTTAAACGCTTTGGGACTTTTGCATCCATTTAGTGGAAGCAGACGACAGTGCTGGAAGACGAAAATTTCAGTGGAGAGGTGTCAAAGCTGGGTAACAACGTACAATATCCCGATTTGTCGACGTAACAGACATGGATTAATAATTTGCGGATTACACGAGATGAACACGGGTTGGAATTAGGCTGTACTTGTGTGCTGGAGTTGTCGTCTGCTGAGGGAACTATCGTCTGCCGTGTTTGGTGTTTGGCGGGAGACACATGGCTGAACGAGGTAAGTACAGAGAAAACCCCAGGCATCTGACTGTCGTTTGGATAAGTCCTTACTCCTTACGATATAAGATTTAGTTTTCCACCAACGACCTTGACGTTCCTGGCCGCCATTGCGATATACAGGATGCGAAGGACCGTTATCTCATCGCCATGGCTTGAGTTTTTATTTGTTTACATTGCAACGTTCCTGTTAAAATACATATGGCCATTATTCATCAAACGACCTTGATGTGCCTATCGGTCATTGCACATCTAAACCTACATAGAGCTGGTCGTTATTGCAATAACAGTGTCTTGCCCCTGCTGTGTAACGTATTGTTATATACTGGCGGTACTATCAAACATTATTAAGCCTCGACAACTGTGGTGTTAGTAAACTGTATACTGTCAGTGTACTGCATCAATGTGTACTGTCATGATGTAACTTACAAAGGACGTATCAATATCGGTTACCAATCGGCACACAACTGGCTTATGTATCAATTAAGCGTTCCCTTTCAATTTTAATAAACTCATTTATACTGAATATCTTCTCGCTGTGACTAGTCTCGGGCGACGGTATTAATAAATTTCATGGTAACATACTTAGGAAAGATAATATTCAATTCGGTATTTGAAAAGTCAGATTTAAACTATTGAGGGAAATGGTTTTGGTTACGCCGTCCTTGATACAGCGTTGTAAACGATCAAAGACCAGTTAAAGGGGGAGTGCGCTTGGGAAATAGCCCCAGCAAGTTTTACGCAAGTCAATCTAATCCTACGTTGCGTGACTGTAATTGTGTCTAAACTCAAATCGTATAATGTATACTGAAGAAAATAAGTTAGGGATCATGACTATATTTGGAGATATGTTTTGGTAGTGAAACCATCCACAAAAATAGTTATGACCCCTAACCTTTTTTTGGTTCAGTATATTGCACTCGAGCAGTTCTCCTAGTGATGTCTGGAAATATACTGCCGAGCAGATGAAAGAACACCCCATGTTTGATAGTGGCTAAATCTGAATCAAGGAAGAAACGGTCATTCAATGGGGATGTATTTGATATCATAGTTGTGTTTTGGACCTAACGTTTGCAGTGTTTGAGAGACTGTTTCACCCTAGTAAGGTTTTCATCATCTTCCCGAGGCAGACTTGTCCACCAGCTTATATCAAAGCCTAGTTTCTACCCTTGCCACATCAAGGCTATTTTTCTTGACTCGACCCTGGCGCCACTTCGCGTAATTCACAAGTTGTGTCCCTTGTAATGAAAACACGATATCCAATCTGATCGCTGTTCTTATCTCGTATGGCTTCACAAAGATGGCGACTACCATTTGCGACGACCTTGTCGATCAGATAACGAAAACATTCGCGATTTCATCCCTGACACAAAAAACATATGAACTCCTTGGGGAGTATTAGATGAAAAATTCGTGTCAACAAAGACAGACAGCGGCAAATCACTTTCATGCGAAGGTGTGCCAGTCGTGAAGTTGATGTTGTGAAACGTTCTCTGATTGGACTATCGATATGTGCGATAGTCCAATCATATTTAGCACAGGAAAGTGGGCTTGGTGTGGCAAGGGTGGAAACAAAACTTTGATAAAAAGGCTAGTGGACGCTCTTGCCTCGGGAAGATGCGTTAGGTGAAATTCAATTTTTAAGTGGATACCTTCTTTTGCACAGGCATTTTATACGCTCCAAACTTGGAGTACAGGGATATAAATTCCGGGATATCTGCCCGGTAGTACACGTTGTTTGCCTACTGGTCGCAGGCGTTTGCTGAGCAGAGTTGCGTCCCTTAGCATTGCCAAGATGCACTGGTTACAGGTTCAAATTCCAGAACCTTCCCGTGTATGGTCCTTGGATTGTCAGCCCCATACCCCGTCGGATTCATCAAAATGGTAAACTACTTTCACCCACGTATCTATAGAGTTTCTGTTAACAGTTATGTTCATCCCGAATGTGAGTCCACCAACATGTGAATGTCGAATGTGAGTCCACCAACATGTGAATGTCGAATGTGAGTCAACCAGCATGTGAATGTTGAATGTGAGTCAACATGTGAATATCGAATGTGAGTCAACATGTGAATGTCGAATGCGAGTCAACCAACATGTGAATGTCGAATGTGAGTCCATTAACATGTGAATGTCGAATGTGAGTCAACCAGCATGTGAATGTTGAATGTGAGTCAACATGTGAATATCGAATGTGAGTCAACATGTGAATGTCGAATGCGAGTCAACCAACATGTGAATGTCGAATGTGAGTCCACCAACATGTGAATGTCGAATGTGAGTCAACCAGCATGTGAATGTTGAATGTGAGTCAACATGTGAATATCGAATGTGAGTCAACATGTGAATGTCGAATGCGAGTCAACCAACATGTGAATGTCGAATGTGAGTCAACCAACATGTGAATGTCGAATGTGAGTCCACCAACATGTGAATGTCGAATGTGAGTCAACCAGCATGTGAATGTTGAATGTGAGTCAACATGTGAATATCGAATGTGAGTCAACATGTGAATGTCGAATGCGAGTCAACCAACATGTGAATGTCGAATGTGAGTCAACTAACATGTGAATGTCGAATGTGAGTCATAAACATGTAAATGTCGAATGTGAGTCAACCAAAATGCAAATGTCGAATGTGAGTCAACAAAGTGAGTGGAAATTGTTGATTGCCACAGTCAACAACTTTCCTTCTTGCATTTAATCAGGTACTGCCATTCATACAAATTACGTACATTCGTATAACTGAAACCGATACATTGCTGAACGGTTTATGGTAGCTCGTGGCAAAAGTTATCAGCTGTGAGTGCATCACCGCCAAATGGTATTGCCACCGTCACTGGCTGATGAATCTGAAAAAATAGCTACTCGCTTAAAACAGTTGGTGCAGCGATCTGTCTTGTTCTCATTTGTCATGCGTGAGTAATGATCTCAAAAGGTGTTGTTAAGTGTAGTCCCCGTTAAATACTGCCAGTTAGACATGACTCTTCAGTATTTCACCCTTTTATGGAAAGTAACGTGATTATACACGATGTCAGTTCTTCTCACGCAAAACGGCAAACATGAATGTTCGAGAACACGAGCTCAGTTTCTATCGTAACCCGGTCTCTATTAGGGCGGAGTAAACCTCTCGGTCTCCATTAAGGCGGAGTAAACCTCTCGGTCCCCATTAGGGCGGAGTAAACCTCTCGGTTCCCATTAGGGCGGAGTAACCTCTCGGCCTCCATTAGGGCGGAGTAAACCTCTCGGTCTCCATTAGTGCGGAGTAAACCCCTCGGTCCCCATTAGGGCGGAGTAAACCTCTCGGTCTCCATTAGGGCGGAGTAAACCTCTCGGTCCCCATTAGGGCGGAGTAAACCTCTCGGTCTCCATTAGGGCGGAGTAAACCTGTCGGTCTCTATTAGGGCGGAGTAAACCTGTCGGTCTCCATTAGGGCGGAGTAAACCTGTCGGTCTCCATTAGGGCGGAGTAAACCTGTCGGTCTCTATTAGGGCGGAGTAAACCTGTCGGTCTCTATTAGTGCGGAGTAAACCTGTCGGTCTCTATTAGGGCGGAGTAAACCTCTCGGTCTCTATTAGGGCGGAGTAAACCTCTCGGTCTCCATTAGGGCGGAGTAAACCTCTCGGTCTCCATTAGGGCGGAGTAAACCTCTCGGTCCCCATTAGGGCGGAGTAAACCTCTCGGCCTCCATTAGGGCGGAGTAAACCTGTCGGTCTCCATTAGGGCGGAGTAAACCTCTCGGTCTCCATTAGGGCGGAGTAAACCTCTCGGTCTCTATTAGGGCGGAGTAAACCTCTCGGTCTCCATTAGGGCGGAGTAAACCTCTCGGTCTCCATTAGGGCGGAGTAAACCTCTCGGTCTCTATTAGGGCGGAGTAAACCTGTCGGTCTCTATTAGGGCGGAGTAAACCTCTCGGTCTCCATTAGGGCGGAGTAAACCTGTCGGTCTCTATTAGGGCGGAGTAAACCTGTCGGTCTCTATTAGGGCGGAGTAAACCTCTCGGTCTCCATTAGGGCGGAGTAAACCTGTCGGTCTCCATTAGGGCGGAGTAAACCTCTCGGTCTCCATTAGGGCGGAGTAAACCTCTCGGCCTCCATTAGGGCGGAGTAAACCTCTCGGTCTGCATTAGGGCGGAGTAAACCTCTCGGTCTCCATTAGGGCGGAGTAAACCTCTCGGTCTCCATTAGGGCGGAGTAAACCTGTCGGTCTCAATTAGTGCGGAGTAAACCTCTCGGTCTCCATTAGGGCGGAGTAAACCTCTCGGTCTCCATTAGGGCGGAGTAAACCTCTCGGTCCCCATTAGGGCGGAGTAAACCTCTCGGCCTCCATTAGGGCGGAGTAAACCTGTCGGTCTCCATTAGGGCGGAGTAAACCTCTCGGTCTCCATTAGGGCGGAGTAAACCTCTCGGTCTCCATTAGGGCGGAGTAAACCTCTCGGTCTCCATTAGGGCGGAGTAAACCTCTCGGTCTCCATTAGGGCGGAGTAAACCTGTCGGTCTCCATTAGGGCGGAGTAAACCTCTCGGTCTCCATTAGAGCGGAGTAAACCTCTCGGTCTCCATTAGGGCGGAGTAAACCTCTCGGTCTCCATTAGGGCGGAGTAAACCTCTCGGTCTCCATTAGGGCGGAGTAAACCTCTCGGTCTTCATTAGGGCGGAGTAAACCTCTCGGTCTCCATTAGGGCGGAGTAAACCTCTCGGTCTCCATTAGGGCGGAGTAAACCTCTCGGTCTCCATTAGGGCGGAGTAAACCTCTCGGTCTTCATTAGGGCGGAGTAAACCTCTCGGTCTCTTTTGCGGCGGAGGTTTAGGCTATACTTTTCACGCTCGTTTCATTTATAATCTTCTTTTGTTTGTAAAATGCATCTTAACGGATTTGGGGAACACTTGCGCGTGCTCGCGTATATGTAAGCAAGTTGCCGAAAGCCATTCGTGACCAACTCGTGTTATTCCGGGACAAGCCGAATAGCGACGCGTGCCCCTCTCATGGCCATTTTTGCGACC